AAATAATTACATCAGATGTTTAAAAAAATCAGGGACGCACTCATGAGAGGGGGGGGGGGCATTACAACTCCCTCCAAAATTTTACATAAGCATTAGGTCTAGAAAAATTTGATTTTTATAACATCGCCTGAGACGGATACAATCGAGCCTACACTTCCAATTGGAAACTATGTTTTAGTTCAGTTTGCAACAAAGAAAAGCCACAAACATTACATTGGCTTAGTGTTAAGTAAACGACTAAATGATTCCGATAATCGTAATGAGGAAGTATATGAAGTGAAATTTTTTAGAAGACACGGAAATTTTTTTACGTTCCCTGCAACTGACGATGTGGCGGATGTTTCAAACCAAGACATTGTTTTAAAATTAAGTGAACCGTGTATTGACACTCGAATGCGGCACACGTTTTCTGAGGATTTGTCAAAATATAGTGTTTGCTAAAATCGACAAAATAAATGTATATATGTATATTCGTAAATATTACGAAAAGGTGGTTTTCTTGTTTAAATTTCGTTTTTGCGGCCATGCCATGGTGCTTTAAAACATTGCTTGATAGCTTTTAACGAGAACTTTAACCATATTTTAATTTTTAAGGTCCACAGGGACATTAGTTAGGGAGTAGTTGAATATAGTTATGAATATGTTTATCTTCAGAAAGAACATTAATTTGCCTTAAAGTCGACTTTAGCTAAAGGAGACTTTAGCGTAATTATGAAAATGGTCCTAAGACATGCAACTTAAAGGAAGATAAAACACGTAATGTAGGTACCCGGATTACGTGAAATGTCTGCAATATTGTAATAGCACCACAATACATAGTTACGCTTAAGCAGTCAATTATAATTGTGTAATACGCGCAATAGTGGTGCAACGTGTGCAATATTTGTGCAATGGGCGCAATGTTTGTGAAATGTGTGCAATAATGGTGCAATTGTGCAATAATCGTGCAATGTGTGCAATAATCGTGCAATGTGTGCAATAATCGCGCAATGTGTGCAATAATCGTGCAATGTCTGCAATAATCGTGCAATGTGTGCAATATTGCACAGGTGGAACCTATGTTTTTGGAGTGATCAACCCCTCGTGTAACATATGCGACTATGCTTATACAGTGATATTTATTTAGAAGTAGACATAGGGATTTATGCTCGGATTTATGTATATTGTTTTTCCCTATGTCTACTTTCCAAACACTAAATCTCTTCTCAAGGGCGCCTAATTTTATGCATCCAGAATAACTTTTTAAAACAAATAAACATCTGGTTGTCATATTAATTAGTTTGAATCGAGGTTTGAATGTTGTTCCTTTGACTTAAAAGAAGTTTCCTAAGCTCCTTAAACTGTGACTGGCACTATAAGTACCAATCGACAATAACAACTTTTTCTTCCGACGAATACATCGCACACAAACGAAAATGAAAATAGGGAAAGCGGGAAGCAAAAGCAACAATATTCAAATTAATTAATGTGATAGCCAGATCTTTATTTTTTTGTTTTAAGAAGTTATTTTGGTTACATACTTCAGAAGAACTTTCATTTAAAAGTAGACATAGGGAAAATAATACACATACCTAAATCACTATGTCTACTTCTTAATAAATAGCACTCTACATAAAAATTAATGCATTTTTGTATACCTAATACAATTGAAATTTACCCTCTCATCATACCAACTGTAGGATTTAAAATGTGCCCAGTGTAATTGTGCACTAATAATAAATTCAGTTTAAAAATCATCAAACTCGAAAGATTTCATGTGCCCAATACAACTATATGTGACCAATATTAAAATTTAAAAGAATATGACCTCTTTTATTAAGCAACCAACAAATAGATCCAGTTTAATAGATATAGGCTAAAATATAAATGTCAAAAGATATAAAATGTGTCCAGTGTGATTATGCAACCAACAATACGTCCGCCTTTAAAAAACACAGCAAATCACAAGGACTCCAAGGTCCACTGTGATTATTCTACAAATCGTACTCGTCGTACGGTTACCCTCAGACGACATTTCTTAACGCATCATTGTTTCAATGGTATTAAATATACGCTTGTCTAACCCATAAAACCACTTACTTGTAAGATTCATTTAAGAGGAAGGTCTCCTCGTGCTGTCTCTGCTTAAGCATCTCGATCATGTCCTCGTAGAGCTTCGCATTCTGTTCGGAATTTGCTTTTCTCAACTGATGTATTTCATCTTCTTGTTCGGCACTCACGTTTCCAATTATTGTCGGTTGGGATAGCAACAACTGGATGTTGTTGTTAATTCTCTCCTGCTGCATTCGCATATTATTCTCCATCACTTGTTGTTTGGCAAATTGCTTTCCGAGCATTTCACTAAATTGCTGTTCTTGTTTCATTAAAATATCCAACTGCTTCTTTTGGGTTTGAGCAAAGTATTCCTCGCACTTTTTCAGTTGTAATGCCATTAATACTTGTGACTCTTGCTGTTGGAGAGCCGAAGAGGTGTTCTGGTAACCGAGGTGGGCAGAAAGCAATCCTTGCTGTGCCAGTAAAGTAGAAAAGGTCGAGCCACCAGAAAGGTCCTGAGTTTCTTCGGGTCGGTCAACGCTGGGTGTTTCTGTTTTTTGTTCGGTCATTTGTGGAGTGCTCTTCGGGCAGGATGTGACTGTATCGGATTTGTGAACTTTAACAGGTGACCCTTCGAGCCAATCGGGAAAACTTTGTATGTTAGGTGCGCTGTGTGGCTTGGTCGGTTGAATTTTTACTTCAGACTTTGTAGCTTTCTCCTGCTTTGGCATAATTGAGTTCTCACGATCAGTGTCCGTTGCAAATAAACCTAAGGGGTCGAGAGATTTTGTACCTCCAGAGGTATGACGAGAACGGCGGCCTTCACGTGATGCACTACCAGCATCGTACCCGGTACTTGGTGGCTTTGGGACTGCTTTTACAGGACTAGAGTCTGTTTTTGCCGGAGTCTTAAGTAAATCTAAGGAGTCTTTCTGGGGAGATTTCGGTGGCCCAAATATGCTTTCCATTAAGGAACTTTTCTTCGTAGCACTAGTGGGATTCTTGTCTTTAGATACATCGACAACTTGTTTCTTATCGATTCCCAAATCATTCAGTATATCGTCTTCATCGTCGAAACTAATTTTCTTCTTTTCCCTCGAAGTTTTAGGATGGTCACTTTCGTCGGCTTCGAGCCCCAGCCAATCGGCCTTTTTGTTCTTTGGTTTATCATCATTTAACCCAAAGAGATTCGTAAGTACCTTTTTATCGGGAGTTTTCGTAACACTTGACATTGGTTTTGGTTCTTCGAAAAAGCTATCGTTACTATCATCCGAATTCAAGTCGCCCAATAAATCCTGCTCGGAAAATTGTGCCATTTTTTTAAGAGTTTAGTGTACACATGCACGCTTCTGTTCCTTAGCAACCACAACATTTTTGAGAAGAGGAACGCTCTGAAATTATGCACAAGAAAAGAAGATCAAGTGTACTATGGCCGCGTTCGTTTATTCCTTAGTTAGATCACACAGGGTGGCCCATTAAAAACAGTGACAGTTGCGACAGAAAAGTTTAAAAACCTTAACTTTAGTTCTGAGAGGAACATATATAATAATACTATTTACGTACCTTCAACCCTGAAAAGGGGGTGATTTACACCCCAAAAATTTTATACGGGAAGGGGTGGTAAACAGATAGTTCAAAAGGATTGTTCATTCTGTTTTCAGCACTGAGAGATTATACCCTGTATATACAACTGACGACGATGCTCATATTTTTGAGAGCTGGCAACTACGTAACAATTTTTAGAAGGGGAAAGCTCTCTGCGCCATCTGAAGAGCACCAACGATGAACGCGGACGTTTGGCATCTTGATTTTAATTGCCATCACGAAAGCATCGCTTCGTAAATGTTTGTGGTTATTTTGTATTATTTAGTGCATTATCTGTGCATTTCTTTATCATCTATTTGGGTTTTATATGCCGTATTCTATACTTTTTGTGAGTTTCAATCTTTCCTTTTGAAGTTGACTTGATTAGATTGATTTTTGGTGTAATGTTTGCTAAATTTTTGTTTATTTTCATTGCATGGTCTTGGCCCCAACTTAAATGTATATTTTTGATCATTCTATTAAACATGTGGAAATTATCTAATTGTTTGATGTGTGTCACTGACTTGTTGTTTGTAAACTGACATTTTCGCTTTAAAGAGACGGTCACGGGGGGTGGCAAAACCTGTAACCAAATGAGTTACGACACTCAATACCGATGCTATGACCTCGAAAATCAACTATAGGCTCGAAACTCCGAACTAGGGGCGAGTTACATATCATGGGGGCGAGATTCTGCTTCGGTTTAGAATCTATGTGCGATACACAGGGTGTCTTAAATTGATGCGATATTTGGAAAAAATAATTTGTTTCGTAGATAATTGGAAAAAGTTAAAATCGACATTTTTAAAAAGTTAAAATATTTTAGTAACAAAGAGAGCTATCGAAAAAAGTTTTAAATAGAAGTTGCAATATTCAATGGGATAAATGCAATGAATGTAGGAAAACAATTTTTTCGGCGGTTTCCGGGATATTGACATCAACTTCCTTATTTTAAATAGACGCCATTTTGGATTTTTACGTCACTCGATAGAAAAAAAATTACAAAACCAGTGATACTAAACACTTAGTATTTTATTTGGGAATCAACCTTACATTTTTGCCTCGAAGTTTACAATGTATTTCTTATGGAAATAATTCCATGGCTGATTATGATTGAAACCAAATTCGTTCGTTTAATGTCTCGCATAGTCTCGCCATGGAATTATTGTCATAAGAAATACATCGTAAACTTCGAGGAAGAAATACAAAATCCATCCATTAGAATCAAAAACTACACAACTTTGTCAATTTAACCGAATCTGTAAGTATAATAATAACAAAGATAGCCACGTGAATTTAAAACACCCTGTTAGTCAGTTCCGATTCACTGATTTCCATATATTTTGTCGCGCCATTGAATTTGCCCTACAAGGCCATGTAATTTTCCATGCTCTTAACAGAAAGATTTTATTGCACCAAAAGGTCACATCCTGTGTATTTCTCGGCTGGTTTTTTTCTTGGTAAGTCCATTTTTCCCCTACCTATTTTTATTTATATTCGGTGAACTACCATTTTCAAAGTTTATTTCTGCAATGTAATTTAATTCAACCAAATTTCTGAATTTTCACAATCTTCATAATAATAATAATTTAATTTATGTTATACCGTGCTGTATGTACAATAAACGAACGGTATGGAGCACGGATGGAGGTCAACATGACCTCTAAATTTTGTACATTTTGGTTGGTCAAGTACCAAATCATGGGAATGTGTAGAAACAGGGCCGTGGCATCCAGTAGGGCAACCGGGCAAGTGCCCTAGGCGCCAAATTTTGCTAGGCGCCAAAAAGTCCTAAAATTTTTTAAAATAAAAATTATACAAAAGTATTTTACAAAGTT